AGATAACAACCCCATGCACCCAGGCCGTCTTATATAAGTTTAAGAAATATTTCATCTGAACTACTATCCCCACATTTAAAATTTCTAAATGTATTGTGTTTATTTGCTCTTAAACTAGAATTAATACGGTCATGTAATTGTTATAATCTTAAATTGCGTGACTATTCGACCACTTAACACTGGCCGTGGCTTTGTTTAAAAATATCAATGTTAGTGTTTTCTTTTTGATGTGACAACGTCTTATAAATTGGTTTGCCGGGTGACACTTCAAGAAACTGCGTTACGCTCCGCTCACGTTATGCGCTCACAATGAGAGCGAGTGAGAGGCACGCGTCCCTTCCACTCGGGCATGGTTAGCCCGCCTAAGAGCGAGAGAGACAGACATAAATTAATGTTTTAAATATAATTCTTTGTATAAATAAATGTTTTAAATTGTTACTATTATTTCATCCTTCTTCCTACTATACGAATGAATATTCACATTAAAATTATTTTACTACTCAAAGTCGTTGTCACGTAAAACTTTCGCCCGTATACCGACTTTACAGGCAACCAATTTTTTTAAATTATAATTTTAACCTATTTCATGCTCAAAATTTATATTAAAAAAATTATTATCTATTTTTTTATGTATTGTTTGAACGTTTGATATTGTGTAGAGATTCGATATTATTGGTTTTGTTTTGTTGTAGCGGTTATTTTCGATGATATTATGGCAATTTTTTAAATTTCAACCCTTTGGGAATGTTAAAAGGTCTTAATTTCCAAGTGTCCTTCGTTATAGGACTCCACAAATTCATCACTGAAGAAAAAATGTTAAACTTACAATATTTTCGCAGGGTTTAGTGTTTTTTTTTTATAAAAAAATGAACTTATTTTAAATGTTATAATTATATACCTTCATGTAATAACTTTTATAATTTTTGTTATTTTAATAAATTGATGCGTTAAATGTCATTGTTTGATATTGAAAATGACGTTTTGTATCTGCCTATACTTGATTTGAACAATGCGTGATTTTATAAATATTTATATAGAACTAGCTGACCCAGCAAACGTTGTATTGCAAAACAAAAAAAAATTAGGGGTGGGTCACCCTTACCGTTAAGGGGTATGAAAAATAGATGTTGGCCGATTCTCAGACCTACCCGATGTGCACACAAAATTTCATGAGAATCGGTCAAGCCGTTTCGGAGGAGTACGGGAACGAACATTGTGACACGAGAATTTTATATATAAGATAAATACATATATATTTTTTCGCATTACACAGACTAGTTGTGAAAGTTAATTTTATTTCTGTTATTAATTAAGAATAAACTATTGTACGTAATGGCTAGTTACAGGCCCGACAGGGGCTCATTGGCATGGAGCGAAGCAACCTGTCACGTACATATCATATTCTGCTTTGGTTGTTGATTAGTTTGTCGTAATACAAATTGCATGTTTTTTTAAAATTTAATGTTTATTTAAAATAATGTTACAACTATTACTTTAATTAGAAATCTCATATATGTTTTACGTAAATTCGTTTTTAATAATTCATCATCATAATTATCATCAGCTATCCCATTTTCCAAATTTTATTTGTGTTCGCCGCAGTTAGTAACTTTAGAAAAGGTTGATGGAAATTGCTCAATCCCAGTTCTCATATGGGTATCTTATCGTGGGAGCCAAACGGGCCGGGCTCGACCGGGGTGAAACCACGGACTCACAAAAATCTTAAACAAATATTTTTTCACCAAGTGGGTAACCCCTCCTGATTCGGGAGGGTGGGCTCTGACTCTTCCCCTAACTCCTAATTTGGGGGCGGGGAGGGGCTCACAAAGGTTGCCAATGCACTTATCTCGAGCTGCAGGTGACCCTTCTGCTCGTGTGCCCTCTTTTTCCATAAAATAAATAAATAAATTGTAAGTTCCTGATGAAGTATATTTAGATATAATATAAAACTACTGTGCCCGCAAAATAATTCTCGTTTACTCATACTTGATACTGAAATATTTGTTCAAAATAAATTTGAAATAAGTAGGACTTACATTATAGTGGGCAATGTATGCGTTTAAAAAACCTCTGCCTACCCACCGTATATACCAATCCGATACAAATGGAGACTATATTTATATATATATAATTGCGAGCGAAAACTTTCATAGCGCCATTCAGGATCCGTAGTACACATTAATAGGTACTATATAGTTCAACTTGACCTGGTTAGATGGCGTTATATAATATTTCTGTTTAAGCTGTGCGTCAGTAACAGGTATAAAAACCTAATACATCACAAACGATATATTCAATAATAGGTTTCCATAACGGATAAACTTTAATAAAATAGTTAAAAAAAAAAGTAAATTTCCACAAATTAAAATAAAATACAGGTAAATTAGCTTGGAGAAAGCTTTTGCGTTTGTAGTAGTGTATGGTACGGACAGCGTAAACTGGTTTATTCTGGTTTTGTGCGTGTTTCCACTTTCTACTATCAAGTGACGATTTTTTGCTTTAGATTGAAATATCTCGGAAACGGTGCGTCCTAGGCCAAAAATTTTGACCCCCCCGTAGACCCCCCGGAGTTTTAAAAACCTAGATGAAAGGAAAAAAATAAATAATTAAATATCGGTCTCTCCTCTTTGAAGTTTCACTTCTATCGTGTGTGAATCGCACACACACCTTTTTTTTTATAAAGTCAAAACCTTTTTCTTTAAAATAAAAACTTGTTTTTATTGAAAACAAAAATTAGAGTGTTGCTAGGGATAAGTATAAAATTAAATAGTAATGTTAGGATATCGAAACATTTTTGTATAGGCCAGAACGATATAGTGTAAACGCGCTCTAAGATCTGAGTAATATACACACCACTACATATGCAAAAATTTCTCGAGACTAATTTCACTGTACAGTTTCTTGCGCTATTATCATTAAATAGATTATTGAAAATATTAGTTTTTTCTTAAAAAGATTTAACATAGTGACTTAATATTGTTAAGAACATGATAGTGAATTGTAAGCAATTGGTGCAGTATTGTTGATAGGTATTATAAGCTTTTATTAAATGAAAAAATCATAACAATAAAATTATAATAAATAAATGTATATAAACATATGTGCTATACAAAACAATATTAAAAATAACGTAATATCTGTACACAGCAGTATAAAACATGATATTTAGTTCCAATAATTATTAATAAACGCAATTTTATCGAAACTGAACTCTAATAGAACAAATTTTTATCAGAAATATCGTATGTTCAAATATAGAGTGCCTTTTATTTATTTAAAATAATAACAATAATATGTATGGTATTAAAATTTATATTATTTTATTTAATTGTATCTCAAAATGTAATTATACAAGAATGTTTTTTTTTGTTTTTTCTATTATTTTATATTAAATCATAATTTATATCATTTTATACAAGCATAATTGTTGTAATAGTAAGTCTTATTTTCGAAATATTCAACCAAATATTGTCAGTCATAGAATTTTCAAAAAAAATACATTTTTATTTTATTTAGATAGTTGTAATACAAGGCTGTGATATGCCTCTGTAGAACTTAATATATATATAATGATTAGTGTGTGTGATACAGTATGTTTTTGATAATGTAATAATGATATGTAAAAGAATAGCTTTTTTATGGGTAACCTCTTAACTCTCGCTTCTTGCAATCTGTGAAAGTAAATTCGTGAAAAGGGGACGGAATTCATGTAACAGGAAGCGTTACACGCGCTATTTGATTTGACCAATAAGCGCCCGGTGCTAGACCACTGTAAAGCTCCCGCGTTTATTTTTATTATATAACTCAATTTAACATAATGGTTTTAAATTCTGAAGTTTTATGGAATCAAAAGGGCCTGTTGCAGATTAAAATTCACTTCTTTAGTAGTTAATTGTTTCTAAATTTTCCAATTATTTGAATTTTATTTTTAATAACTGTAAATAAAGAATTTGATCAAACACTTTATTTGGTATATGGAGTTTTTACCGAATTCTTAATAAAAGCATTTAAGAAATACGAGTACAACAATTTCATGTTGTTTTAATTTTTAAGAGAAATTGTTCCATATCGGCAGTCCTGTTTATTTATTTTTTATATCTCGACAAATATTAAAACAAGTTGTAATTAAATTTTCATCAAACATTAGTATTATGGTTATTTACCTCTTATTAATGAGGGTATTATTATAAATTGTTGTGAGTTACAAAAAGTAAATATTGTGTTATTCACTTTTATTTACAAGATATATGTAACAGATTCATATCATTATATTTATTTGTTATTGCGTGGAATATAATAATTATATTAACAAGAACATGCTGTGTTACGTGTTGTAGTAAGAAGAGAAGAAGTGAGATTACTACGAAGTGTTAGTGTGTGTGTAAAATCGGTCCCAGAATTATTGTAAATGGTATTTTTTCACAGAATATTATCAAATGTTTAAGGTACTGTTGTAAGCTTTGCCTCTTCTTGTGCATAGTTATAAAATCAACCATTTTTATATAATAAACGTTTCTAAAACTGCTGGCTGTGTATTCTTTGAAACCGACTACAGAAAACAGAGGTGGTTGAAACAATTTCATTGTATTTTTTTTATGTTTGTTACCTCAGAACTCCGTCATTTGAAAATAAAGTCTTTATATTTGGGATGGTGTAGTTCCCGTTTAGTCTCATTCGAATTTAAAGAAAAAAACCTCATCTGAGGGTAGAAAACTACCAGATACCACCGATTCCACATTCTCCTAATCCTAAGGGGTAGTCGAATGCCGATAACGCACTTGTGACCCAAGTTGCAGGCGGTAGTCACATCATCAAGTTACTGTGACATCGTTTTTTAAAAGTGTATTTACACCAATAAGTCAGCAAATAAGCAGCTCGGAGGATGGAAAAGTGGATCGAGAGTGCTAGGGAATCTTAACCTGCATATTTATTTGAAAATTGAATAATTAATACCTTATCGACGATTTTATTAAATGTTTGTAAGAACACAAGGAAATAATTCATTTAGGCACTGGACAGCCGTAGTCACAGATCAGAGAATCGATGAATTTATAAGCGAGGCCTGGCCCTCTGGCGTGGCAGTTCTCCCTCTCAAAGATATGGAGGTAGGAGAGGTCTTTGGCCAGGTGGTTAGCTGTTGGTTTATCTGAAACAAAAATGTAGACTGATATTGAAGAAAATTATTGTTTAGTCTAGGTATTAACTGTTCAAAGACAATACATCATTTATTTGTACCTCTAATACTCGATAGATGGCGTTGTACCATTGCGATCGTTTTCTAGATGTCGATGTTAAAATTTTCTTACCATGCATTATCTTCTAGGCCAAGTTATAGAATAAATTGTCTTACTCTGAACATAGTGTTTTATTACCTCGGGAGATATTATTGCGACTTTGTATAGTAATAAAAATATTCTAGAATATAACGGCTCATGGCTAAGTGGTAATCAAGTAGGTAAACACATAGCTAAGTCGTTCCTAGATAGATAGGTACTCGTTAATGTACACCATGAAAAGGAAACACAATGAAGAATATAAACATATATACATAGTTATATATAGTTACAATTACAATGGGCGGCCTTATCGCGGTCTGCGATTTCTTACAGGCAACCTTTAGATGGACTATACCGTGGGAGAGGCATGCTTCGGCACGAATGGGCCGGCTCGACCGGCGTGATACCACGGCCTCACAGAAAATTGGTGTTAAGCAATTCTTTCGTTGCCTTTCACTGAGTGAGTGAGGTTACCGGAGCCCAAATCCCCGCTGACTCGAGTGGGAGGGACTCTAAGGGCGGCTACGCACTTGTGACTTTTGAGTTGCAGGTGTCCATGGGCGGCGGTAGTTGCTTACCATCAGGTGACCCGTCTGCTCGTTTGCCCCTTATACCATAAAATTTTTTACTGTAAAGTTATATCTAGTTTGTGGTGCGCATAATACATTTACACAAATACATATTTATACACATACATACCTGGGTTCCTACTAGGAGCTACTTTCTAGACTGCACGGATGGCGTAGTGGTTTAAGTAGTCGCCACGCCACTTACGTTGAGTGTTGTGGGTCCGATCCCCACATGGGACGACACTTTGTGTGATCCACAAATTGTTGTTCTCAGTCTGGGTGTTCTTTGTGTTCGTTTCATGTATGTTTGTTAAGTCCCCAGCGACATAGGATATATTCCTAATGCTGGAGTTGTCTTTTTTAAAAAGAAAAGAAAAAGGAGCGAACAATAACCGTTTAAAAAAAGACATATCAGGCATTAGGAATATATCCTGTGCCCCGGAGGACTTTGAAACAGACACAAAGAACACCCAAACTTGGAACAACAATTTGAGGATACACTCAGCGTAGTGGGAAGCGGCGAGTTGACCTCTTACACCAATACACCATCCGTGCAGTCATTGGCTTGCTCCCCCTGTGAGTGTTTAACACCCCTTTGAAATAGGTTTCAGTTTACTAACTTTTAGGGTCGATGTGGAATTTCGGCATCTGGGCGACGTCGGTGAAGATGCTCGCTGAACACAGGTCCATGCTCGGAAAGTTCATTGTTATATGAATCATAGCTGAGGAAAAAAGTAAGTGTATTTACAAAATTTTATTTAACTTGCAATGTTTGTATGTAAATATATTTGTTGGGGTCAAATGTACCACGCAATGAACTCAATTTCTTACACGAATATTGCTATCTTTTTTAGCTTCTTCTCAAGGAGGAGACTCTTCACATCATCACATCACATCAACAGTCTTTAATAGTCCATTGCTGGACGTAGGCATCTCCTTAGAAAGGAGGTTTTGGCCTGCTATACCACGCTGGCCAGACGGGTTGGTATAGGGTTTGTGTCAAGTTTTCCTTCTTTTTGCAGTGCTGATGTCCTGCGTTGTTTTGCGCCTTAGACGGCTCTTACGACACTTACGGGATGAATTGGGGTAGTGATATTCCGTATTCTTAATCCGTCACTACACGCAGACTCTTAATTCGTTTGTATTATTTGATGGCACAAACATGGGACTTTTAAAGGCAAAAACATGGGTCAGACCGGCTGTTGGCGTGGTGATGCGTCGCCACGCTATATGATAGTATATCTAACATGTACAAGTGACTCAGTGACTCTGATTATCAAAGTGATGTGATACTCAGTATTTCTACAAAATAATTTGACAATTCCAATCTGTCTCGCGATAGCTCAATTTTATTTGTCGACCATTATAACTTGAACTATCTTTGTATAGACTTTTGTGCTGAGGTAGACTGGACCTTTTAGCCGTGTTTGTGTTGTGTTTAAGAAGCTAGTTACTAATACTTACGATATACGCCCCTGATGTGGTAATGATAATAGGTGTCTTCTTGATAAGTTCTGTGCTGGATGAAGGTTCGGTCTGACTCTAAGTCCAAGTTCGGACAGTCCAGGGATAGTACCACTCTGTCCGTCTGTGTGTTAAAGCTGAGGACACAGATTCGAAATGATGAAATGTAATTAAAAATCCATGCTAGCTAAGATGGAAATAATGCTATGTGCTAACATAAGATTCATAATCATTAACAGCCTTTAGTAGTCCACTACTACACCTAGGCCTCTCCTTAGAGAGGAGGTTTCGGCCTACTATACCACGCTGGCCGGATAGATTGGTATAGGGTTTGTGTCAAGTTTTCCTTCTCGTTGTTGTTTATTCCCTTAGTCGGCTGTTACGACACCCACGGGATGAATAGGGTATTTTTAATCTGTCACCACACGGTATTAATTTCGTATTTAATCAAATATGGTAAACAACTAGTGATATTTTATTTGAATTTTTAGATAGTCATTCGTCAATTTGTCGCCATTTTGTATTTGGTTTTCTAAGCTTTTTTGTATTAAAGCACAATGTTATTATACACAAAAAAGAGGTAGGTACGTCACGCGTAAAACGCGAGGGTGCTAATTAGGACCACTGCTAGCGAGCGTACTTACTAATTAATTTGAGAAAATTCATAAAATGCCTTCCTATGTATTCCGAAAGTGCACAAATTACAACAAAAGGGTTAATAAAGATGAAGGAATATTATACCACAGGTAAGCGTATGTTTTGTTCTAAAATACATTAATAGATAATGTATACATAGTGTTACGGTAACAAATATTTTGTGCGTGCACTATGAATAAGTTATCTTCTTTAAAATATCATTGTTAAAGCAGAAAAACTATTAAAATATTGCCATGTTAGAAGAAATACAATATTTAAAGCGTAAAATTCCCATTTTAAAAATACGTGTAAAACTACTATTAAGACAGTTCTGCATTTATATCTATATATGTATAAATCGTTTTGGTGTTAACTCACAAAAATTCCGAAACATAGCACTTGTCTTGATTTCTGATGATTAAATTATGGTCGATATATGACGCGTTGAAGTATGGCGTGTCAAAGTGGAGAGATTCCTGAACGTATTTAGAAGGAAGGTATCCATTCTTCTTAATCTTGCAGAACGAATTCGCCGCTAAATTATCTCCAATACATTTGTGATCACTTAGTTTACATGGTCGTAGGATTTTAGGTAATCGTATATCTGGAAATAAGTTACCGATTAAGACAACAATAATTGTGGGGTATTTTTGAAACTCAAATTGGCGCCATAATGCATTTTTAGGGTTCCGTACCTCAAAAGGTAAAAAAGGAACCCTTATAAGATCACTTTCTTGTCCGTCTGTCCGTGTGTCACCAATGATTTTCTCAGGAACGGATACTGGTCTATGTTTAAAGGTCTATGATCCGTATTAGGTATATAAAAATCAAGGTCCTGAGTCAACACGATAAAAAGATATGGACAAATTTCGATTTTCGCGAAAACTTATAAACTTACCAAAATTTAACTTTATTTTTGACTTTTTATTTTTCAGAATTTTCTCTTTACTTGTGCTGTAAGACCTTGCTTTTAACGAAAATTGACTATTCTAGGTCAAACGCAAGTACCCTATAGGTCGAAAACCTATATGGTAGTTCCCGTAATCACGAAATTTAACAAAAAGAAACGTCTTACAGCATAAATAAAGGAATATTTCCAAAAAATAAAAAAGTTGAAAAATTTTGGTACTTACAAATTTTCGCGAAAATCTACGTAAAATCTGGGTAGGTACGGAACCCTCGGCGCACGAGTTCGACTCGTGATGACCGGTTTTTTCTAATTATTTATATCCGGTTCTTGTAGGATCATGAAACGATGCCCAATCTTAATATTTTTCAGATAATTTAGAAGTTATGGTGGAGTAAATTTCTGTCTGTCTTTTATAGTTTTGCAATACTAATTATTTATTGTTGAATAGAATGGGACTCTTGTCCGGTATTTATTAAGAAAACAGTAATCAGGTTTTTCCAATCACTTAAATTTTAAAAATCTACAATCTTTTGTTCTACATTTTGTTTTTATTTTAAAGAAAAATATTCTGCACCCATTGATAGCTAAATATATGTATATATATCTAGTCTTAAGATTATTTTACTTAGTCTTACCTGCGTAGCAATAATGTGCCCACCACAAAATTAAAATAACTTTCAGCAGCATTCTGAAAGACGCGCCCGAACACAAGCGGTGACAAATTGCGACTAACAATTACATTTAAACAACAATACATTGTTACAATATTTAATTAAAACTTACCAACCACCGTTATATTTTTTAACTGTTTGTTTGTCACAGTTTTTTGATACTATATTTTCTGAAAACTGGGTCTATTTTGTGTTAATAATTTTTTATTTCCTTTTATATGAATGTGTATTTTTCTTTAAGGGATTTTTTTTAATCAGAATATGAGATTACATTCGTCTTGGAGTTGCAGCTGTTGCTTCCTCCAAAGGTGTCTAAGGTTCACCCTTTAGCTTCTTAAAGGTTTTATGTGAAACACCAATTTAATCTCTCTCTGGGAATAAATATATTTAAGTATTTCTTAGCAAAGATGGCAGGATACTTTTTTAAAGGGGGCAAACGAGAAGACGGGTCCCCTGATGGTAAGTGACTACCGTAGTCCACGGAAACCTGTGCCACCACCACTCAAGTGCGTGGCCACCCCTAAAGTTCAGAAGTTGCACCCAGAATAAGGGCACTTTTTAAATCAAGTTTACTCCTTCATATATAGACGGATTTGCAAAATTATTTTCTTGTTCGAAAGGGATTTATGCCAAAATGGTCACATTTAAATTTCATATAGATCTGATTATGAGTTAAGGAGACAATGAAACTCTTCAAAAAATGACAGCAAAACAAACGCGATTACTACTAGGTCTTTAGTGCTCTTTGTTAGTATTGCTTAAAGTCTTTTCAACTTTTCTAAAATAATTTATTTATGACTACGCCCGCACTGGGAATATATCCTGACTTTACAAGCATTCATGAAACGAACATAAAGAACACCCACACTCAGAACAACAATTTGTGAATCACACAGTATTGTTCCGTGTAGTGATCGAACCGACAAGCGCAGTAGGGAGCAGCGAGGTGACTGAATAAACCACTACGCCATCCGTGCAGTCAACTAACTACCTTTTTTTTAACTAACCGAGTTTTCGATTCACTATTCATCCAAGTAAAGTCACAGACATAACTTAGTTCTTCTAAATAATATAAATTAGAGTTTCTAAAGCAGATTTTCTGAATGGGGGGATTTATTGTGTTTGTACAACTGTTGGCAAGTTGCGTCACTGTTCGTTTAAGTTATATTATATATAAGATATGTAAGAATTGTATGTAAGAATTTCAACCGTGGAAGAGCCATGCTTCGGCCCGAATGGGCCGGCTCAACCGGAGTGATACCATGACCTCACAAAAAACTGCTGTTAAGCAATCACAAAAAACGACGACCGGATGGCGTAGTGGTTTGTGTAACGGACTGCTATTCCAAAGGTCGCGGGTTCGATTCCCGCTCAAGTCAAACATTTGTGTGTATGAACATTTAATGTTTGATTTGGTCTGGGTGTTTCTATGTATAATATGTATGTATTTACAAAAAAAAAGTATATATGTATTTATATCAGTTGTCTAGTAGCCATAGTACAAGCTCTGCTTAGTTTGGGACTAGATGGCGTTGTGTGAATGTGGTAGAATATTATTATTATTATTATTAATTCTTTCGTTGCCTTTCACTGAATGAGTGAGTTTACCGGAGCCCAAATCTCTCCTCCCGCTGACACGAGTGGGAGGGACTCCAAGGGCGGCAACGCACTTGTGACTTTTGAGTTGCAAGTGTCCATGGTCGGCGGTAGTTGCTTACCATCAGATGGTAAGCAAAGATATACCATCAAGTAATGTGATATATCTAAAACGATATATAAATTTACCTAAGTATTCAAATTGTGGACATTTTATTTTAAGCTGGGTTGAAGAACCATTTTTATCTGACCACCCAGGTGGACAGTAGGTGATTCTTTATGAATGAAATTCCTAACCCACAAAAAAAGAAATGGGTTCAGTGGTGCGTTCCTATGTTATCAACGGTTGTTGGAACGAAGTTCCTTATCGCGCGTTATGAAAGGGGGCTAGACGGAAAAAAATCTCATGAAAAGTTGTAACGACACTTTTTATGTCAGTCATTCAGCGCCATCTATCGAATAGACAGGAAATCAATTTCTCAAGGAGATTTTACCAATGTATGAATTGTTTTAATTAGAAACCAACTGAAAAATATGTAGGTAATAGCCGCTTTCATAGATGGCGTTGTAATTAAAATCGTGTCGAATCAGTTTTACTCGATCGTCACAACTTCGTTCCTATCGGGTGTCCCACGACACCACACGGCTTTTTTTATTCTTTGTAAAATGAATGAACACTACAGAGAACATACGCGACTAAAATAAGTTACTACTAGACTTGCAACGAATATTCGGTTACTATTCGGTATTCGGCCTATTCGGCTGCTTTTATTATATTCGGCCGAATACCGAATATCTACATATTATTCGGCCGAATACCGAATACTTAAATAATATATTTTGTCATTGAGAAATAATTGGTAAAATGAAAAATTAAAATCGATTGATTACGTATATATTCATATTTTCATTTCTGTTATAATCATTTAAGTAGTCATTGGTGCATAACACAGGTACATAATCATCTTCTGAATTGGAAAAATAGAGGATTTTATGTATTTGAATTATTGTGGTAATCAAAATTTAGAAGGGTAAGGTTCTTATTTCTTTTATAATCATTTATTAAGTAGTCATTGGTACATAAAACAGGTACATAATTTAATTCACGTCTGTACAAGTTTTTGGCGCTAAAATCCAGCCGAATACTTTTGCCTAATATTCGGCTATTCGGTCATGGGCCTCGCCGAATATTCGGTATTCGGTATACTGCCGAATATACTATTCGTTGCAAGTCTAGTTACTACAAATATGTATATCTACATCTTGGAAATAGATAAGAATAAAGAAATTAGACAACTGGTTGGGTGGATCGTTATTAATACTATTTCTAAGGACTTCAAACCAAAAAACCTCCCATCTCGAGGATCACGAAGCTACGAGACGAATTGCCGCCTTTTCTCACCAGTAATCAGTGACAGGGTGCCCTTCTCGTCAATATCAGTTCAAATGGATGGTTTTTATCTAAGTTAAGAGGAGCTTTCTGCACTCTCCGCTAACCAGACTATAAATAAATATTCTATAAATATTCCTAACTAAGATAGTAGTAGATTTTTTGAGATGATTATCAGTCAGCAGTAAAGCGTCTCCTTGAGAAAAATATGTCGTCGTTTCCTTTGGTCAGGAATAAAGTTTTATGTAAAAGCATCTTAATATCCCAATTCCTAAATCTAAAAGCCTGTTTCTATTGTATTGTATTGACTGACTGGTGGTGCAGTGGTAGCGTACCTATGCGGCTGCTGTGCTGAGGTCTCGGGTTCGCTTCCCGGGTCGGACCTGCAAATATTTGTTTCGGAGTTTGGGTGTTTTTTTTATGTATAATTTGTATGTATTCACAAAAAAAGTGTATAAGAATCCCATCAGTCAATCTAGGTTTCATAGTACAAGCTCTGCTTAGTTTGAAACTAGATGCGTTGTGTATCAGATATCCGAAATATTATTATAAAATTAAGTTTTAGACTTTTGCATTTCTTTATGTATAAGGTCAGAAAGTAAAATCTTCAATATTACGACTCGACTCTTAAAAATGAGAACAAAGAATTTGACCTTACGTCGCTAAAATGTATAAAATTGCGGTAAAACGCCCGCTTGTAACAAATATGACGATAGTTTTGTTGTGCGTCATGGCATATGTTAGGCAATTGTTCAAGAATATTTGATCCAAACATTTGGTTATTAATCAAATTGTTTGTTTAATGTTCAATATAAGTAATTTTCCAATTAAAATCTGTTTAAAATATTACAGAACATGTGTTTTTATTGAAGATATTGATAAATATGTTGATGTTGAGGGCAATTTGTTACGTTGTAAAAAAATAACTTCAGGCAGGCAACCAGTCATGAAAGAACATCCAAAACCGTTTGCAATGTTAACGCATTATGCCGATCCCAATCAAAATTATGTTGTTCGTCTGAGTCTTTATGTATGTATTTATAAATATATAAGTATGTTTATCAGCAGTCTGGTTACCATAGCACAGGCTCTACCTAGTTTGGGATCAGACGGCCGTGTGTGAGATGTGTGAAGGTATTATTATTTATTATTATTATCATATACCTATTTTATTATTGCTGCTTTTATATAATAATAATAATATTCTACCACATTCACACAACGCCACCTAGTCCCAAACTAAGCAGAGCTTGTACTATGGGTACTAGACAACTGATATAAATACATATATACTTTTTCTTTGTAAATTCATACATATTATACATAGGTACACCCAGACCAAATCAAACATTAAATTGTTCATGCACCCGAATCCGCTACCTTTAGAATATCAGTCCGTTACACAAACCACTACGCCATCTGATCGTCAATCATAATCATATGATGAAATGACTGGTGTTAGTTACTGCGATTTCAACCGTGATTGTAATTTGGTCATAGACAAAGAAAATGCCATTCAAAATCTATCAAAATTATTTTTATCAAAGATTACGACCTGTTTTTAGATTTAGACCTGGCGCCAGTTTAATAATAATAATTAATCACAGTGGTGATCATATGATTTATTACAGGTGATTGTGATCCCATCCCTAATACATATTTATTTATATATATCTTTTTTATTTATGAAGTACGAGTATTTTATGTAAGCTAACATGTTGATGTTCTCAATAATTTGCTCTGAACAGGAATCGAATCCGCAAAGTATCATCTTCCCTACCATATATATATATATTTGCTAACCATTTCTTGACTCTAAATAATACTGCGTACACAGTCTTATAAACTACAATTGTAAATAATATGTTTTCTTTAATGCCATGGGGTGTGAGGGGCGAACCACCATCTTTCGCCCCAAGCCAACCTCACCTGCCCGCGGTGCATCCTGCTGAACGACGAACGAGGCTCTGGCGACCGACCGATGGCGGTATATCCATCCCAATAGGCGTAGCTAAATATAACAGGCCGGT